TGGTATCGCAATTGCCACCAGGTGGAAGTGATAAGCCTAAAATATGTTTCATCGGTGATTTTGCTCACGCAGCTGTCGTCATTAGCGTCGTTGTCGTCAGCTGTAATATGGAAATGGAAGTTCACCAAAATAACTTATTTTTCACTTTCTGACCCGCGTTATTTTTGGTTTTTTTTTTTTTGGCAAACGCTACGTTGACATGGTCACTAAAAGGAAAGCTAATAGCGGCGGCAGCTCCGGTCAATTTTCAAACTCCATTTGTTTTCGCCGCAGCACCACCGTTCATTTCAAATGCAATGCTATGCAATATCTATGTATACACTATTTTATTCGCGTTGCTTTATGCAGTTTTGTCAGTATGTTCCAGCATACATTCACCGCATTTGGTGATGCCAACAAGTGGTGCTGCATTTTTAGGAAGCCTTGAATCCTAGTGGGATGCAAAATTAGCATTCGCCTGTGTTGGTGGTGGTGGAGATTTTAATTTGCCGTTTGTATGAGTATGTGTGTGCCTGTGTATTTTTTGGAGTACGCATTGTTTAAATATGCGCTCTGTGTTACAACTATTGTTTGTTTAAGCTGAGTTTTTTGTTGCTTTCTGATTCCGATTTCCATTTGTTTTTTTTTGTAGTGTTATATTAATTATTATTACATATGTATATATAGTTATTAATTATATTATCATTATTATTTATATTTAATTTTATGTATATATTTAATATTTATATTTATATATATTTATATTATAAAGTTGATGGCACAAAAGTTCAAATTTTTTGTATTTTTTCGCCAACTACCACAGGATTATTGCGTCGAATTTCTTGGGCCCCATGTTCCCGATAATTAAATGTGCAGTCGTGTTTGTCGCTGTATCTATGTACAGCACAGTAAAGTCCACCGCATCGGCATTGAAAACCTGTAAGCGTGCAAACGTATAGTTGATTAATTTAAGAATCGGACAGAAAATAAAAGATAAAAGCAAATGAAAGGCATACAAATACATTAGAGAAGGCCAAGAATGCAAGTCATGAGATTTGTCTACTTATTGTTCTGTTCATTTTAGGATTACAATTTTTTGCTTATGTTATTTTTAATTCCGAAATCACATTTTTAATTCTTAGGGTTTTTTTTTTCACAATAAAGACTTAACTCACATTCGGCAGTTAACTGTATATGAAGGTGACTTTTTGTCCTTTTCTATATATGCACATATATATATGTACATATACATCTGCTAATAATTTGTTCGTGCTCATTCACACTCACCTGTAAGACCAACTTTCTTGCGGCATTCGGCGCAACGATTCTTTTTCTTTTTTGCATCTTTATCTTCCTCCTTGTCTTTGTCGTCTTCAGTTGGTTGGGAGGATGTTGATGGACCGGCAATGGCAGCAGCTTCGGTGCTAGTTTTAGCTGCGCTTTCTTCGTTTATTTTCTGTAAGCGCAGAAAAATAAATAAATATTTGATGAAATTGAAAATGCAGGAGAAGCTAGAGAAAGATACTAGAGTAGGTATTTATTTGCGAAAAGATATTGTTTAACCTTCATTTACTGTCATGCAGTCATCACTTTTAGCCCTGCCACCAACTTTTGCAGCAATGCATTGCTAAGCTATATCGAAATAGAGTGTAGTATCTATTGCTACTAATACGCTTCTTCTTGATCGCAAAATTTACAAGGGACAGCGCGTTTTCAGATGGCTAAAAGCCAACATTCTTCTGTTGTAATGCCAAATTTCAAAGCAAAGCAAAGCAAAAAAAAATAAAATAAGATGCGAAAGTGATAGATGCTAGGTAAGTGCAGGGCGCGCGAATTTAATTAAACATTTGGGTGTGTATCTAACTTAGTTGAGGGCAAGCTACTTATTCATGTGATTTTGATAAACGTTTTTTTTTTAATGCTTTTAATTGGTAGAGACACAATGGCGGAAGTATAAACTTAGAAATCGACATCCAGAAAGTCAAATGAAGGCTGGTTTCTTGTTTGATGAAGCTTTGGCCATAAATAAAAAAAAAAAAAAAAAAATCTATAGCCTTTATAGTAATGCCATAAACTTTATATTGGGCATTATTTAAGGTCACCAAAGGTTATTCTAAAACATGTATGTCTAAAAGCAAAATCTATTATATTACCAATTCGAAAACGCAATAGATGTTGTGTGAAAATGCCTAGTAATTAATTATAGCATACTTTTAGGCACTGATTAAGACCAAATTGATTGATTGTATTATAGGTAGCAGGAGCACAAAACCGTGCTTTTGCAAAAAATTTAATTTTATTTAGGACCAACGTTAAACAAATTCTATTTTATTGTGGGTTTCGGCGACTATATATATATATATTCTTTTATAAAGGGAGGTATAATTTGTGTATTCAAAAAAAATTTCTAGCTCCATAAAGTACATTTTCGAGCAAGGCCGGAAATTCTTCTTAGGGCCAAATTCACAGTGCGTATTTAAATCAGAATTGTCAGTTAACTACAAATTTTCAATACAAAAATCTTTAGTTAACTGCCGATTCTGACTTAACTACGCACTGTGAATTTAGCCCTTAGTAACATTATTGTTTGCGCACCCAATGAAATATTGCTTTGCAGGCTATAAGTTATTGCAATAAAACTCCACAGATACAGTATTAGTCATTTCAATAGCAACCCCCTTTCCAAGTGATATTGTTTATTTGAATTTTTTAAGAATTTTTAATTAAAATGCAGTTTATTCTCTAACAAAACCCAGTTTACAAATTTTTAGTAATTAAAAAAAAACGTCAACAGAGTCAATAGGTGTTGCAGTTTTCTTTCAAAGCAAATGCAAAAACCAATTCTAAAAAATCAACGGTAATTTCTAGCCCCTTGAAACTTGCAAATTATACAACTAATTTAATGGGCTATAAAACTGAATACAAAAGAAAATTCTTACACTTCTGAGAAAAAAGTTTGTAACTTTGTTGAAAACTTTTGGAATTTGTTTAGTTTTCTAAAAAGTCTTAAATTTATGTTTAAATGGGTTTTGTTAAAGAATAGACTGCATTTTAATTGAAAAGTCTTAAAAATAAATAAACATAAGTTGTAAACAGTACTACTTGAAATGGGGGTATGGTACTGGTATGACCGATACTCTATATACCGAAATGCTCCGTTCGTCCGTGCACACGACACAAATCGAGCAGAAATGTACGTATATATGTATGTATGTATCTCAAGGAAATTTGGCTTGGTTTTTGGACTGTTATTGGTCCAAGGTACATTGGGGTGGCATTAAATATGAGCGACACCGGAATAAAACCACGCACGCCTACCACTTGTGAAACGGTATTTTTTTTTTCAATTTTCAAAAAACTGTAATATTTCAGAATTCATTCATTTCAGAATTCTCAAAATGGTTTGCTAAAATTAAATCTATTTAAACTAAAGCAAAATATTTATAAATGAACTAAAACTGAAAGTTAAAAAGCTAAGGGCAAATGAGAAGCCAGTAGTTCAAGCGATAAGCAGACATCGGAATTGTTACAAAAAAGCTACACAGTTCACGTTCAATTATCAGACATTTGTGAGAGTCAATCTAATCAAGAATCTAATTGGCAAGACATTTACCCCTGTATTAGTCGAACTATTATTACTAGATGAGCGAGCTGTTGGATCAGCGATTTGCACGACTACAGGCGCATTAGTTGAATTTTGCATTTCTTCGATTGCGTAGTGGCCACCGACACCACCGACACCACCACTACCTCCACCGCCACCGCCTAAATCAGACACGCGATCTGTAGTTGTTGTACTATTTGTTGCTTCATTTGGCACTTGTTGTTGCTGTTCATCGTTTTCCTTCGTTGGTTTGGCATGCTCTTCTTTGACCATTGCCACTGTAATATTATGGCTGGTAGTTGGCATATCAAACATTTTTGTCGCATCCATATCCAATGCGCTATTATAAACTTTGGCACTCTCCTTATATGACTTATCCTGCACTGGACTAAAGCATCTGACCGCTGGCACATTAACGGAGCCTGATGCCACTAAGCCGGCACCAGATGGCAAATGTTTTTTACTGGCACTGTGCCGTCGATTCAGCGTTTGATACTTGCCAGCGGCTCGCTGATCATTGCCACTCCAGCTTGAACGGGCAGGCAACAATTTACTATTTGCCACATTTCGCTTCGAGCGTCCAGGCGTGAGCGTATTTGGCGAGGGCAGATATTGCGCTTCCTCTTCACCCATTGGCTGGGGCAGTTTTCTAGCGAATTGCTTCGCCAGCTTGGATAACTCAGCTGCTTCGCGTTCGGCTTGAGCGCCTTGGGGCACTCGTGTCAGCTTCTTGGTGACATTGTTTGTACCAGCTTTGCGTTTGACCACAACTGCTGGCTTAACTTTCAGTATAGATTTAGTCTTATTCACCGGTGGCAACGAGCTACCAGCCGCCACGTTCAAATTTGTGGCATTGAAATGTGATTTGCCTTTGTTAATCATTTGTTTGCTGCCATTTGAAGCGGTCGAAATGAATTTTACGTGGCGTTTGCGTTTCACTGAAGTTGTACGCTTGTCCGATTGTTTCAAATCATCGCCGCTGACAGAACTCAACTTTCTAGTGTCTTGCAAAATACAGGTAACAAAGGAAAGGTAAATGAAACAATATACAACTTGTTAACTTTATTAATTTGTGCTCACGATTTCGACGGCCACCGTGTGACGGGGAAACGACGGTGGTCGCAGTCGCTGCTGCCGCGGTAGATGGCATTGCGGCAGGCGGATTTTTCAATTGTGTCACCACCTTAATAGATGTGTCAGAAGTGGTGCGAGTTGCAGTTGCCGCCGAGGCAAAGTTATTAGCAATATTATCATTTTGATGCTGTTGTTGTTGTTGATGCTTGCGTATGCGCTCATTGGCATCAGTGGTGGCTGTTGTGGCGCTGGGTGTCGTCTTCATTTTAGCAGCTGACATTATTATTATTTTTTAATTTAAATGGTATTTTTAAACTTATTGAGTTTCTTGTTGTTGGCAATTGTTGCACAAAAACTGCGCAGGAGAGGAGCGATAAGCGGTGCCGAAAATTTTGAAGTTGTTGATATCCAAATTGAGCGAATTTACCCAAATGTAAATTTTAGGTTTTCAAAGAAGCATTGTACTGTCCCGCACTGCCACAATGCCTCGAAAGTATTTTTAGATAGGCGCCAAATGTTTTTTTTTTTTAGTATTTACTTTTAAATGTTAAATTTTTATGATAAAGAAATTCATTCGAAGACTGAAAGATAAAAACTGACTTTCTACAGATATAAATTTTCAAGCAGGTAGGAATTTAAAACGGTTCCGTGCGCAGAAGTGGAGCACTGTTGACCTGGGAGTGGCCAGAAGTGATTCTTGTTTGTACGGTTCAAATTGCAGTTCACAACGTCCGGATATTTATATTCACGTATACTCTGGGTAGCAACGAAGCACCCGTTGAGAAGCGAGCCAAAGTGAGAAGGCGTAAAACTTCGCGTGCGCTGGGTTTGGGACCCGCCACGTTATAACCCCACCCAATGACCACAACAGGCCTCGGATGAGACCCCCTTTTTTGATGACGACCACGGCAAACGTATAAAGGACCATGATTTGAGAGTATACACCTGGAATACCTGGACCCTTAATGGGGAAGGCACCTCTGCCCGGCTGGTTGATGTCCTCCGAAAGACAAAGGCTGATATCACCATCCAAGAAATGCGATGAACGGGTCAACGAAAAGTAAGTGTGAAGCCTTGCGACGTCAAAATCGTGCTCGGCGATTTTAATGCCAAGGTGGGAAAGGACGAACCGTCCGATAACAGACTGAGGCTGATCGACTTCGCCGGGGCCCGATACATGGCTGTCTCCAGATCGAAAAACGAGAAACCAAATCAACCATGTTGTGATAGAGGGAAGGCATGCTTCCAGCGTTTTAGACGTGCGTACACTCCGAGGGCCAAACGTCGACTCGGACCACTATCTTGTTGTAGCCGGCCCCTGTGCATAAAGAAATGTGCGCCCATAAATGAAAGGAGAGCGTAACGTAGAAAAGCTGCAATCACAACAGACGGCCAATTTATTCGCCATCCGTCTCACACACCTGCTCTCTGGGAGCACTCTTCAACAATCCGACATAGGCGAGTAGTGGAACCACATTTCCCGATCATTAAGTACCGCCGCCGAAGAAGTAGTTGGATTTCAGCGAGCCCGAAAGAACAACTGGTGCGATGAGGAATGTCAAGAAGCTGCAGAGAAAGACGCCGCCATAGGGTGATGCTGCGATTGGGCGCAATACGAGCCCTGTGGGACATTTATAGGGAACTGAAGAAGGAAGTGAGACATATTTGCCGCAATAAGAAGAGAGAGGCCGAAATACGTGAGTGCGAAGAGCTTGAGATGCTGGCCGACAGGAAGAACGCCCGAAAATTCTACCAGAGGGTTAGGCGACTTACGGAAGGTTTCAAGACCAGGGCGAACTCCCGTAAGAACAACAATGGCGGCCTAGAGACTGATGTCCAAAACGCTTTCGACAACACGAATAGAAGTTGCCTTTATGCCGTGATGTCTGAATTTGGTATTCCCGCGAAACTAATACGGCTGTGTAAAATGACGTTGAGTAATACCACCAGCTCCGTCAGAATTGGGAGAGACCTCTCCGAGCCGTTTGATACCAAACGAGGTTTCAGACAAGGGGACCCCCTTTCGTGTGATTTCTTTAATCTTATGTTGGAGAAGATAATAAGAGCCGCAGAACTGAACCGCTCAGGCACAATACTTTACAAGAGCGTAAAATTGCTGGCGTATGCCGACCACATCGATATTATCGGTAAAAACAAGGGCTACGTCCGTTCTGTCTTCTCGCAATTGGACAGAGAAGCAAAGCGGATGGGTCTTGTGGTCAACGAGGACAAAACGAAGTATCTCCGGACATCACACAAACAGTCAGAGAATACGCGTCTTGGCACCCACGTCACTGTTGACAGTTAAAAGTTTGAAAAAGTATACGACTTCGTTTATTTGGGAACCAGCGTTAACACCAATAATAATGTCAGCCGTAAAATTCAACGTAGAATCACTCTTGCCTACAAGTAGTCACTCATCATGCCTGTGCTGGTGTATGGCGCGGAGGCATGGACAATGAAAACATCTGATGAACCGGCTCTTGAAGTTTGCGAGAGAAAGATTCTGCGAAAGATTTACGGAACTTTACGCGTTGGCGATGGCGGATACCGCAGACGATTTAACGATGAGCTGTATGAGCCTTACAACGATGTAGACATAGTGCAGCTAATTAAAATTCAGCGGCTCCGATGGCTTGGCCATGTCGTACGAATGGACAGAAACGTTCCTGCTCTGAAAGTATTCAACACGGGCCGCGATGCTGGTAACAGAGGAAGAGGAAGGCCTCCTCTGTGTTGGAAAGACCAGGCAGAGAAGCACTTGGTTTCACTTGGCATTTCCAATTAGCGTCAGTTAGCACAGAAGAGAAATGACTGGCGTGCTGTTTTGGACTCGGCCAAAATCGCTTAGGCGATTACAGCGTCAAAAAAGAAGAAGAAGAAGGAATTTAAAATTTAATATTCTTTATTTTGGTAACAAACAAGTTCCAAGACTGCATTAGCAAGAGGGCTGTCGTAATAATTCTCGGCTAATATTCTACTTCGCCATTTACTTAAGAGTTTTGAAATTAGAGCAGCGATGTGGTTTTCGTGGCGTCTGTCTAACCTATATTCACATAATGGAACTCGTGGACTTTTCAAATAAATAAAGATTTTCGTTGTTACCAACCGACCTTGGACAAAGCACAACCCTATGTACCAAATCTCATGTTTTAGACGTGTTATCGAGTCCAAAAACAGATCTTTCTGATCACCTACGTAAACATATTGTGACACAGATTTCAACTACCTAATTCCCTTAAAGTTTACTTTGACGTTTAAACAGGTGGCAACCATCCTACATGTACTTTAGAAATAGAGCCTTTTCACAACCATTTCGATTGATAACCATCTTTTAATGATTCCCCCTTTCGGAAAAACCTTATTACACATCTACATCTTTAACTTGGCCCTTCATTTTTGAAAATCGAACGAACGGTGCAGATCTGATGGCATTCAAAAAACGATGCACCCGTGCTACTTTATCTCAACTGGTCGATAGTCGCTCAATATAACATATTTTGAATGTAGCGCAAATTCGGTATTATTTCACCTTATTTCATCACTGTCAGACAAATTATCCTAACTATAAGCGCATTTCTATTGTGCCCATAACATTCGATAAAATAATTGTGAAACTGAAATCGCCTATATATTTTGTAAAACTCAATGAAACCTGAAACATCCGGGTTCTGAGCTATACTCAAAATTTCAAGTCTCTAGCTCATCACCAAGTTGCGAAGTTTGTAGTGAAATCTGTTAACAGCGAAAGCAAATTGATAATACATATGTACATATCACACACCATCTTCAAAAGAAGCACAACTAAAACTCAGAACCAAAAATATAACTGCTGGTGGATTGTAAAGGTTTAAGCCAATTAATACAAAAACAGGTAGTTTTCTTGTTGGAGAATATAATCATGAAGGGAAATATATTAGCATTAATTGGTGATAAATCCTACGAATTGATTTATGCAAAAAAAAAATAGGCCATTTTTTTTAAGTGTGTCCCTTTTGAAGAACGTGTGCGATATGGGTAAAAGTGGTTTACCCCAAAATTAATATGCTTCTCAGATTTCAAGAAGCTATGTATGTATGTTTGTTAGTGAACGAGGAACTTAATAATGTGTTGTAGATAAGGAAATTGTTAACATTTAAATTGAACAAGGAATGGCCGTAAACATTAACTTATTCACGCTGTACAAGCTCTTGAAGCGCCTAAAAAAATTTGATTAATATCAATGACGTTGGGAACAAATCTGATTACTTCACAACTCTTTAAAAAAGAGCCACTAGCATTGTTTTTGGCTGCACTTCCATGCATTTCAAAAAATGTCATAAAATCCTGGTCATGTATAAAAGAAGAAATTTTTAAAGCACAAAAGTATTCTAACAAACTTTTACATTAAGCTCTTCTGGCAGTCCGAATTAATAAACAATTTCGACTCAAAGCTACTTAAAGCGCAGATCCAATTGCTTTGACAGCAGAAGTGAACTTCTATTATCCCCTTTTACTCACCTCTTTAATTTCATTGTGTTGCTGCTGTAAACTTTGCACTGTCGGCTGTGCTGTATTGGTTATTGTGATGGCTGGACTAAATGTGGGGCTTGGCTGTGGGCTTGGAACTGATACAGGTGTGCTGCTAACAGGAGGTTGTTGCTTTTTTCTCAAAGAATCCTGTAATATTAAAAATAAATGGAATTTTTTAAAGAAACACGATGAGAATAACAAAAAAATTTGCGTTTAACGCGTATGTATGTATGTACGCAGATAAGTGCCAGTCGCAGCATTTTTACATAAATTTACTACTTGTTGTTTAACATCTACAAATCATTTCACTACAAACTTACCTTATAGCACACTGAGCAGAGACCATCGGTGGCTGGATTGCCATAGAAACCGCAACCAGAGCGGCACATGGGTTGCATCGGATTGGATTCACGTTCCATAGTTTGGTTTTTGTTTTTTTGTTTTAGTTTAGTTTAGTTTTGTATACTTATTGTTTGCCTAGTTAGTTTAGTTTAGTTGTTTAGTACTTAGTTGCTTGTAGTTTTTCTTGTTGCACACTTTTCCACTATAACTTTGCTAACTTTGCCTCCTCCTTTTTATGAATCCCTTGCTAATTCTTAGCACCGCTCGCTCAATAATTAAGCTGTTTTCGACAATCTCAGGGCCTTTATTTTTGCGCCAATACTCTTGCAATATAAGTTTTGTTTTTGTTGCGTTGTTGGCGTTCAAAAAAATTTACAGTGTCGGGAAGCGAAGAACAATTTTCAATTTAACACAATTCGTTGATACACAAGAACACTGAAGAAAATTTGCAAATAACTATTGGCTTTCAATTTAATTTTGTCGAACAACAAATTCAATTCACAACGAAAATTTGTGTGTGAGTGTGAGTCCCTCTAATAGCAACACACTAACTGACTACTGCTTGTTGCTCTTCTTAGCGCTGCTAAAATATGAAAAATAGAAGAAAAGAAAAAAACGAAAAATAAAAATGAAAATTAGTACAAGAGATCTCGTTAGCAATCATTTGAAGAAAAAATATCAAATATTAATACTCACCAGACAAATAAATAACAATTGTGGAATTTATTTTTTATGTTTATTTTTCTTCTTTTTGAAGATTCAGTTCAAGTGCTACTTTATGAACTGATTGTCCAGTTGAAGCTAGCTAGCTATGCTTGTTATTTCCGTTACTATTGTTGTTGTTGTTGTTGTTGTTATGTGCGCGCACTCAGTTGCAATTGCAAATTGCAGAGAAATATTATTTAAGAGCAATAAAAAATAGCAAGTGTTTTGCTGCTGTTGTTGTTGTTGGTCGTGGTGATGACTGCTGACCGGTGACTGGCACACAGTGTCCCCTTTGCTGATTTGACTTTACTTTCGATTATTTTGTACTTGGCAGCCGCTGATATTGCTGCTACTACTTTACTTTTTTAATGCTGGCTATTTACTGTTGCCGAGCTGATGCACTCACTCGCCTTGTTGTTGTGCTGTTCGTTCTTTTTTTAGCTGACGCGTGAACGATTAATGCTCAGCCCAATTCAACTGTAATTGAAGAAAAAATGGAAAAATTGATTAGTTCTTTGCTTTAATTGCATTTGTATGGGTTTTTGGGTTTGAAATTTCGGTTATTTATGGATAGAGTAAATCGTGATACAAAAAAGTAGGTAGTTTGATTAAAAAGTTTTGACTTTTGTTTTGAAGTTTCTTCAATTGTCAGGATTATGATTGTACAAAAAATTGTTTATTTTTTTGTTAAGAACCATTGATACGTAGTATGTATATGTGTATATGATTTCCAATAGAATTTTCGACGCAGAAAATCCGATTCCACGACAGGTTTTTTAAATATCCTAATTTAGAAGCGCAAAAACAGTGTATTTTACTTGTTTGAGGTTACGTAGCATCGCAAAAAAACTTTTTACAGAAAACGTTGGCTAAGTATCTTAAAAATCGAATCTTCCCCTCTCGAATGCCGTTGAGTTTGCCCAAATATATTTTTTTCGCCGAGATATCGCATTTAGGATATGTGATAGAAAAAATGTATGTAGTTCAAAGGGTTAACGGATTTTCGAATATACAGAAATTCATACATACATGTTAAAATTTCATAACGTGATATCTCGGTCATATCTGGATCATGGAATAAATCCAAAATTATTTGAATACTCGGTCTAGGCTTAAACATAAACCAAAATCTATGTGTATACTTGTTGCCGAAATACCGGATATTGAGGTGCTTAAGACCTTACGTAGTCATTTAACATATAAAAAAAACTCAGCTGTCTACGAAAATTTTTTTTCGAAGCAAAATGGAGCATTTGAGCTTACCAGACGTCTCCACCTTCAACAGATTCTGTCAAAAAAAGCTATGTTAAGTTAGAAATGTCAGATGGAGACTGCAAATTTCCACAGTTAAACCATATCTGTCTTACCGAATTTCTTACCACCGCTGTCTGAACATCAGCTGTCATTTCGTAGTTTGACAATTCAGTTTTCATTTTACGGCGCTATCTACACTGGGTACAGATCGATCTGACTGGCTTGATGCTATTTTGAAAGTGATATGTGAAGACAGCAAGTTGCCCACATGAAAAAACGGGACAAAGTTAAAAACCGAAATTTGACAAATGTTAAGACACGTTTAGTAGAAGGTGGAGACGTGGGGTTAAGCGGGCGATTGTTGCAAAAAAAGCATTACATGAGCAATCAAAACGCAAAGACGCTAATCACAGGAAATTGCAACACGCTTTCAAACGCAAATGGAAAAGCTTCATCTTGATGGATAACTTTCAAATAAATATCGTGAAATAACATAAAAATAGAATATGACTAACAAATGAGCAAATCAAATCAAAAAAATATTAATGTAAAAAATGCACTGTCTATAGGTGAGTGGTCACGTCCACTTGATGTTTTACTGTAATTTTTGCATGTTTTCATTTTTATCGCTTAGTCAGTAATGATTACAAAAAAAAAAAACTTATAACGAATCTGGTCACGTTGTCGGAGCGAATGATAATAATGCAGCAGTGTAATGTAATCAATGCTGGGAAATTTCTTTGCTGTACGCAGAATTAGTGATGATTGAGATATGTACTACATGTAAAAGAAAACTTTTATATCCACTAACAGCAGTTAGTGACTGAGAAAATAGCCAAAATGAGTTGGGGGAAGAAAAAGAAAAGCAAAAGCAAAAAAATTTAATTTTCTAACAAATATCAAATATCGATGGCTGAGTGGAAGATCGACCTATCTCGGCAGCCAGTTCGAAAACATTCTATCTCAAAAAACTTTTCAAGAACGTCCTATTTCAGAATTCGTTTCAAAAACGCCCTATCTCAGCTGCCGATTCAAAAACGCCCTATATCAGCATATTTTCAATACATTTTGAAGTGCGATAGGGCGTTTTTGAACCGAATTTTGAGATAAGGTGTTTTTCAATAAAATTCTGAAATAAGGCGTTCTTGAAAAGTTTTTTGAGATAGAGCGTTTTCGAACTGGCAGCCGAGATAGGTCGATCTTCCACTCAGCCATCGATATGTACATAATTGCAGAAATCACAAAAAAAGGTATAAATAATATAGAAAAAAATTCAAAATTAAAATAAATTTAAAATGATTTTAAAAAAATTTAACCATTAAAAAACATGAAAAACAAAACTAAAATAAGACATATACGAAATATGTACTTAGTATAAAGAATAAATTAATCAGGAAAAAAGACAAAAGAATGTACTAAAAAAATATTCAATTACAATAAAAAACATAAAATAATATGGTAAGATTAAATATAAAAAAAAAAAAACAAACCAAATCTTCATAACCCAAAAAAAAACCAATGAAAAAAATTAAACAGATGCAAAAGTGAAATAAATCGAATTAACAATGATTTTACAAAGCAATGATTTATGAAACCCAATTATTGCCAAGGGTTCAGAATTCGAGTATACAGATGGAACCAAGTTAGAATATGGCAATGCTAGAGCATCTGGAGGAGTTTCGTAACGACTTATGGACGACTTATCGTCGTGTGGCCATAATTACGCTCTCAGATCTGCGCAAGTTAAGATATAATCTTGATAATATACGACTCTCTGCAGAGCATAGAGTATGCGATTGCCCACGTATCATGAGTCTAAGACTCTAAGTGCCGGTGTCACCAGCAATTTAGGTGAACAATTATTTTTGCTATTCTCTCAGTTTACTGTTGCATTAAAAACAAAAAATCAGTTTTCTATTCAATTAAAAAAAAGTATCAGATTTCTATTAAATTTAAAAAAAATATGCTTTCTAGTAAATTAAAAAAAAAGTCAGTTTTCTATTAAATTAAAAAAAAATCAGTTTTCTATTAAAAAAAAATCAGTTTTCTATTAAAAAAAAATCAGTTTTCTATTAGACAAAAAAAATCAGTTTTCTATTAGACTAAAAAATCCGTTTTATTTTGTATTAAAAAAATCAGTTTTATATTAAATTAAAACAAAAAAAACCTTTTCTAATAAAAAAGTTTCAAATTTCGAACATCAGTTTTCTGTAAGGTAAAATAAAATCAGTTTCTGCGTAAAGAGTGTTACTTCATAAATAATAATAATATGTAAATCCGACCAAAACTTGTATATTTAGCTAAAAATCTCTAAATCAATGAAGCTTGTGCCTAAAAAAATATATAACTCCTCCAGGAAGCTTAACATATCCAAATCCACTGCTAGAGATTTTATATTGAAACCTTCCGTTTTCGCGTTGCATATTTAATTCATTCAGAAACTTTACCGACAGAAATTTAGCGTAACGATTTCTAGTAACAATAAAACACTTCGACCAGAATGTACTTTAAACCCCCAGTGATTGCCCTAAAAATCTCGAAAGCCGTAAAGCTTAAATTTAAAAATCAGCATACACGCATTTAAACACATACCCAGTAAACAAAAACAAAAACTCAGAAAAAAATCAATGCAACAAAGTAATGGTTAACAATACAATTTTCAATAGCTGCAACTTCATAAAAAATGCGCTAAAAAATAACGAAATTCGCAATAGTAAAACAACCAGCAATGGAAGCTGTGCAAATAACATTTGCTTCTTTTTTTTTTTGTTGTAAAGTGGGCGCTCTAAAAATAATTGCCAACTAAATCTTTTTCAAGGCTGTCTCTGGACGAGGAGGTAAAAGACTCGCAAGCAAGAAAGAGAAGAAAAGCAAATAATAAGATAGCGAAACACGCGCTTACAAAAAAAAAAAATACAAAAAAAAAGTATTTAGAAAATGTTTCGATCGTTAAGTGCGTCTGTTTGTACATGAATAATAATATAACATCATTTTTCCTGTGCTGCAATAATTGCTACTCAGAAATCAAGCTGGCACACACACAACTCGCACAACATGATTGCCATTAAACCGGATTGAACTGCATAAGAAAAGGAGGAGAACAACAAGTAAATGGAGGGGAGCGATAAGCAGCCACGCAAAGGAACTTAAAATGTAGTTGAAGCTGTGCACTCCACCCCTCCCTCGCTGCTGCGGCATTAACTTTTTAATACATATGTAGATACATTAGACTGCATCACCAAAAAAAAGTTGTGCTTTTTCCGATGGGATTACAAAATTAATTATAATTTAAGACGTCTATCAAAATATTTCGGGAGATTTTTTTCAAAAAAAAAAAAAAAAAAAAAA